GTGGAACAGCCTCTAGATCAGGCTGCTAGTTGAGAGGCCTGGTTGCTTTTATGGGAGCCCGTTGAGAAGGCCGCTGTTTCCACTGTGGTCTCGTCATAAGCTGGGAGAACCTGCGGCTGCCTACCTCCTTCCCTTGTGAGCTGCCTAAGGCCGGGCCATCACCCATCACCCAGCTCTCCAACCATTACCCATCCTGTGCATCCTGCCTGCATTCCCCCCTTGCCCCATTCTCCAAGGTCACATTGTTTCTCCCGCACAACTTGGATTGTGTGCTGTTTCCTGCATGTGGAACTCCTCAGGCCTGGGAGACATTTAGCCATCTGTTGCCATGTGCTGTGTGGTTCTGGGGCTTTTCATGTGGGATGACTTGGGTCTCTCTAGCTTAAGCAGTGGGCTCTTCATAGACCTGCCCCCTCACTCCATGGCTTCCCGTGGGGAAAGTGGAAAGGCTGGGTGAATGCATGGATGACAGAGCCACCGGGATGCCTCCAAACTGAACCCTGCCACCTTAGGAGGCTGAACTATGAAGTGTGTCCTAAACAGCTTGCTCTCATCCTTAGCCCTACACTCCTTCTGGGAAAGAGTCTGTCTGGAGTCCTGCATTCCCTTCCTCAGGGCCTGGATGTATGAATACAATATTGTCCACTGCCCCCCACTGCCGCTGACCCCATCAGATCACTCAATAGTGTCTACAAACTCCATCCTATGAACCTGCTATGTCCTCCGTACCTGTCAGAGGGGCTGCAAAGCAGCAGCCAGAGCTGATGACTAGGTCCCATCCCTCCCTCCCAAGGTGCACCAGCTAAATGGGGCGAGGAGTCACAGACAGTGTGCCCAGAGGCCATTGGAGAGCAGGAAGTTGTGGCCAGGTCTGTGAACTGAGGTTTAGTGGGTGCCAGAGAGAAGCGATGGGAATGTGGGCTGAGGAAGGAGAGGAGGACAAAGAAGAGTCAGGAGACAATGATGAGGCCTTTGCGACTGCACCATCACCTGAGCCAAGATCCCCACCCCACAGGCCTACCTGACATCCCCAAAGATGAATCAGCAACAAAATGCAAATCCCAAATGCAGAGAGCAAAGAGAAGTGATTATCCCCCAGTTCCCACTCGCATGCACCAGCCTTCCTCTCCCTCTGGGTGGGCAGAATCATTGTGGCCATCAAGTAACACTTAGAGAAAAAAAGTTTTTAATCTGTTCAAATGTCACAGTAAATTACATTTTGCTCCGTCTTTCCTAAACTGCATTTTCTCTTTGATGACCTGAGGTTAAAAAAATTCAAATCTTCCTAAAAGAACAAGGACAAGGATACCCAAAAGCTCACTCATACTTGTTCCTTCCACATCCTTGGGGGGTCCTGGTCCCTCATTCCATGGGTTTGAGATGCCTGTCTGTGTCACTGAACCCCCCCAACACTCTGCTCTGACCGGCAGGAGGAAGCTTGGGCTAGCCAGCTCTGTGCCTTTAAGAGACCAAAGCCTTGGCAGAAGCTGCTTCTGCCGCTGTTTACACACGGGGTAGATCAGTGCTGCTGGGCCTGGAGTCCTTCTTGCTTCTGCCCCAGCAAGTCAGGGGGAAGTGGGGCCTTTCACCATACACCTGCCAGAAAGCTGAGAGGTGAGGAATGTGCTACCCCACCCTGCCTCGCAGGGGCTAGAGCCCCAGTCCAAAATAAACCATCATCAGGTGGGCAAGGTCTGGGGAGGAGTCACGGGGCTCTCTGCAGCAGAGGATACTCCCTGGGAGAGGCATGGGGTGGGGGCTGGGGACAGAGCGCAGAGGAGAAATCTAAGGGGGTGTCCTCAGACATCTGGGGAAAAAAAAGCAGGCACCCACTTTCATTAGCAGTCCTCACTGGGTCCTGTCCAGGAACTGCTTTATTTACGTGTGGGCTATTCTTAATAAGAATCAGATGACTCACGAAGCACCTGTGAATATCAGACATAGAGCCGGGAGTGACTGGGGTGGCGCAGAAGTGGAGACCAGACCTCAGGCCCTGTCCCCTCTGCCAGCTGTGCCCCAGCTTTCTGCCTTCACCTGGCCCTGAGGGGATAGGAAGAGGGAAGAGACAGAGATCTTGAGTGGGAATTACTCCCTCTCCTAAACATCCAGTATGGTAAAAATAATGGGAGTGAGGGAGAGACTCCCTCAGTTATGACATCGTGGGAGGCAAGTGCGAAGGCCAGGAGAGGGAATGACTGCGAAGAGGTTTGGTGCCAAGTTTGTGCCCCCTGCTGCTGGGTCCTGGGGGACAGGGAAGGAGGATGCCTCAACCTAATGGGCACACACACACACACACACACAGGTAAAGTGTGGCTATAAGCAGCGTCTATTGGCACAACCACGCTGCATCCACACACGCACCCACAGTGCTGGCAAGACACAGGTGCACACACCAAGCCGCCGGCTCAGAGACCCCGGGTGCCTAGCAGGGCCCTGCCCTCTGCACTCCACGGGCACACCACGCACACAGCCTCCTGGCCCAGAGGCTCCCTGTGGGTCTCTCTTGGTTTCCATCCTTTTATTTGGGGCGGGTCTCAACCATCATGTAACACTGGATATTGTTAAGCCCGGACCAGTCATAATCAACTAATACTTACATCAACCGAGCAAAAGCAGGAGAGTCTTAAAATGAAAGGATGAAGTTCCTCAGTTCTCAGAATTGCACTTGCTGTTTGGTTTGGGCCCTGCATCTTCAGGGGGAGGTGTCCCGGGCCGGCTGGGGCCTGGGGCTGCGAACCTCTGGGCCTCCTCGGGCCTCCTCCCGGCGCTGGAGAGCTCCGCGTAGAGGTTGTACCAAACGGGCTTGGTCTCGGTTTTCAGGCGGCAGGGGTCTCGTTTCTTTAAATAAAATTTTAGGCTTATCGTCTAGGAACGTCACGATATCCGAGGACAAATAAAGAGAACTCCCCCCCCCCACTCCCCGCAAACACACGAAAGAAGGTGGGGTCTCCGCCACAGTCGGGCCGGCCGGTCGCTCCGTCCCGCCGCCCCGGCTCCCAGCCCCACCAAAGCAACGGGGGAGCGGGGCGCGTTATTCTACTGTGCCCGGCTTCTGAAGCCGAGGAGAAAGAAGCGGCTCCGGGGAAAGGAAAAACAAAACAAAACAAAACAGCCAATGTAGGGACGGACGGGGTGCAGGTAAATAGCGATGCAAAGGAGAATAACGCTCTCCCAGCCCAAGTTCAACAGCAGCCGTCGCCCCCAGAGGCGGGGCTGCTGGACCCGGCTCGAGCGCCAGCCACTCCCTCTCTCCCGCGCGGCCGCTGCCGTGGCCCCGGCCCGGCCCGGCCCGGCGGGGAACCCTGCGGACCCCGCGCCAGGCAGCGGGACCCGAGCCGGGCTCGCGCGCCTGCAGACGCGACTTGGCGAGCGGGAGGTGCCGCCCGCCGGGACCGAGCCCGCCGCGCGGGTCTGCGTGCGGCGGAGCAGTCCGGAGAGCGATTGGAGAGCTTTTATTTCTTGGGTGCTGGGTGAAGGGGGCTCGGGGGGTGCAGGGGTGTCCATTTGCGCCCGGAACGCCGAAGAGGGCTACATCCCGCCAGGCGCCCGCGCCAGGAGTCCGCCTGCTTCCCCGGCGGGCCGAGGCGCGGGGCTCCTACCTTCTGCTCGCCAGCCGCCGCGCTCGGGTTAGAGGGGCGGGTGGGGTGGGGAGGAACCGTCCGGGACAGACACCCCGCTCCCGCCTTCGGCGGGCTAGAGCGAGGGTCGGGCCCCGAATCCCGGATTCCCCGTCTCCCCCGCCCCCCTGCGCTGCCCGGCCGCTCCCCTGCCCCATCCTCCCGTGCTGGGGTGCTCGGCGGCGGGGAGGGGGGACTAGAGGGGCGGTAGCTGGCAGGCGGCGGGGCGAAAATTGGGGGCTGCTCTGGCAGGTTGGGAATGCAAGAGGAGGAAAGAAGGAAGCAGAGAGAGAGAGAGAGAGAGAGAGAGACGGAGACAGCGCGCGCGCGCGCTGGAGAGCGAGCTCTTGTCTATAGATTTATCCACATAATATATATTTATGTCGCTTTTTCCCCCCTCTCTTTCTCTCTCTCTCTCTCTCTCGCTCTCGACACTGATCAATGCGCACTCGGATCGCAGGGCGGACTCCCTGCGCCTCGGTTTTTTTTTCTTTCCTAGTCTAAATAAATAAATAAAGAGAAGCAGATGGGAGAGAAAGCGCCCATTCCACCTCCGCCGCCGCCGCCGCCGCCGCCTTCCCCACCGCCGCCCCGCCCGCCGTCCGTGCCTGCGCTGCGCCGGCCTGGCGCCCTAAGAGAGCGCGGCTCGGCGTCTAACGCCACCCCCGGCACAGGCACACAGGCACACACGCACACACACACGCACACGCACATGCACACACGCGCGCAAACACACACGCACGCACACACATCCATCCATCCATTCATCCCCGACATGAAAACCCATGTTTTTCAAAAAGAAAAAAAATTCTTTTTTAAGTTGCACCTGCTGCTATTACAAAAGATGGGGGCGGGGCGGGTGGAAGGGGGGGAAACCCCCAACGGCAAGGAGGGCGGCCGGCGGCCGCGTTCCGAGCGGGCGCCCGGGCTCCCCGCGGCCGCCGGGCCCCGGCAGCTCAGCGCCTCCCGAAGAGCCATGCGCCTGGCGCTATTTATAGCCGGGGGCCGTCCCGGGCCGTACCACCGCGGCTCGCCGGGGCTGGCGGCGGGGGAGGCGCGGCGGGGACGGCGCCGCCCCGCGCCTCGCAGCTCCCGGCCGCCGCCCGCCGCCGCGCGGCAGCTCCCCCCCGGCTCCCGGGCCCGCCGAGCGCCCGCCCGCCGCCCCGCGCCCCCGCTCCTCCTCCGCGCGCGCACGCCCGCCGCCCCCCACCCCTGGGCAGACGGGGAACTTGAACCGGTCCAGCCTGTTTAAACGGAAAGGACAGGGAGCCTGTCTGTTCCTTGTTTAAAAAAAAAAAGAAAGAAAGAAAGAAAAAGAAAGAAAGAAAAGAAAAGAAAGGAAAAAAGAAAGAAAAAGAAAGAAAAGGGAGGGGGAATCAGATCCGAGCGAGCGAGCAAGAGAGAGAGAAAGAGAGAGAGAGGGAGAGGGAGAGAGGAGAGGGTGGGAGAGAGAGAGGGGGGAGAGCAGAGAGAGAGCGCGCGAGCGCGGCGAGCGAGCGAGCGAGAGAAGAGAAAGAGAGAGAGAGCGAGCGAGCGAGCAGAGAGCGAGAGGAGAGCGAGGTGTAGAGAAACCGAGGGGGAGAGAGAGAGAGCCCGAGTGTGCGTATGCGTGTGCGTGTGTGAGCCAGAGCGAGCGAGGGAGAGGGAGAGTGCGAGCGAGAAAGAATAAAAGGAAAGAAGATTTTTTCTCTATGTATATAAAGATGGCCACGTTAGCAAACGGACAGGCTGACAACGCAAGCCTCAGTACCAACGGGCTCGGCGGCAGCCCGGGCAGCGCCGGGCACATGAACGGATTAAGCCACAGCCCGGGGAACCCGTCGACCATTCCCATGAAGGACCACGATGCCATCAAGCTGTTCATTGGGCAGATCCCCCGCAACCTGGATGAGAAGGACCTCAAGCCCCTCTTCGAGGAGTTCGGCAAGATCTACGAGCTCACGGTTCTGAAGGACAGGTTCACAGGCATGCACAAAGGTGAGTGCACCTTTCCGTCCCAACTTTGCCGGGGAGAAGGAGCGGACCCGCGGGGGACGGCGCGAGAGGGATGCTCGGGTCGGGCGCCGAGCAGCAGCGAGGCGCTCGGGCAGCCCCGGACCCGGACTGGGGTGCGCGGGGAGCTGTTCGCGCCGGGGCAAGGCTGGGTCTGGGGCGAGGAACTGGTCGAAGCGGGGCCGTGGGGAGGAGAGCCGCGGGAGCAGAAGATGAAGCAAACGAAAAGAGACCGGAGATCGAGGGGGAAACGGGGCATGGTTTTTGGTTGTTGGGGGTCTTTTTCGGGAGGGGGGAGGTGTTGCCCTTTTTTTTTTTTTTTGAGACAGCGACTTGAGAGAAAGATTGGGGTAGGTGACAGCTGCACCGGCAGAGCCCGGGACGCGGTTCAGACTCGCCAGGGCTTGAGCTGGCCGGGATGCCGGGTGCTGTCCACCGCGGTGGTGCTGAAATCTCTAAAGGAGCCGATCGCCTTCCCTGCTCGGGCCAGAGTATTAGGAGCGCGGCCGTCTAAAAAAAATGAGAGAGGCGACACATTCAAAGAGATTTTTTTTTATTTCGCCCTCAATCGAACAGTAAACTCTCCCTGTCGAGCTCTGTGCTTCGATAATCCGGCTGTGGTCTGAGTGGTGGGGGAGGGGGGAGGTTTGGATGTTTGAAGGAAGGAGGGACAAAACCTAAGGAAAGAATTAACAAGGAATCAGTCATCCCCTGGGTGGAGTGAGGGGGAGGGTCGGTGAAGCCAAGATGATCCCCTTCTTAGGAAATCGGGGGTTGGGGAGGAAAAATCTGTGAGCAGGATATGCATTTGAAGGGTGCACCCTAAATTATCCCAAACTCACCATTCAGAGAGGTTTCTAGTACATTATTTCTCTCCCTTGAAACAATCGTTGCTAGTGAGTGCTTGGGGAAAGGGGGGGTACACAGAATAATCAAATAATTAAAACCAAGCAACTTTTTAGGAAAGTGGTCATAGGAATTGTCTGCAGCCTTTCTGTTTTCTTCTTGTTTTATTATCTCTAAGGCAGAGCCCCAAACGTGTTCAGTTGTAGAATGTGTGTGGGTGGCTGGTGGGTGACGAAATTAGCCCGGTGCTCCGCTCCCTAACAGTAATATATAGGATGTACAGCAGGGATTCATTGGGGCTGGAGCTGTGTGGACAAGTTAAATGCTTTCTGAGAGAGATTGATCGTCAGGCAGGGAAGAAGCACCGGTCGAAGGAAGTTGTAGGGGATGTGTGTGGATGTTCCGTTTTTGATAAACAGTGGTGTGGAGTGCCACTGAGGATGCTATGTTAGCCTGGTGGTTTTAATGATGAAAACACACGTTTGCACATGCACATGTGTGCGCACGCGCATGCACACACGCACACACGCGCATACACACACACCACCACCACCACCACCACCACCACCACCACACAGAAACCAGTCTCATTCTTAGCCACAAATGGGCTATGAACAGAGCTGATCGTCCTGCACATTAGGTGCAGAGCGCAGAGCTGTCTGGCTCTCTAAGCAGCAGTGGTTTTCACTATCACAGCCTCCCCCCTTTCCAGCCCTCCCTCCACCCGAATACTAAGCAGAGCTCAAAACTCTTCATAGTTGGAGTCCCAGAGAGCAGTTTTTATTGGCTTTAGCATCTTCGAGCTTGCCTGCTGAGGAATAAATCTTAAAGTTAATGGCATGTTGAGTTGCACAAAAACACAGCAGAATGGAAAGATACTGGGTTTGTTGGGGGTGGGATGAGGGTGGGGGCCGTGATGGAGAAAGAAACCAACCTTTATCCAATATGGAGAAAATGTCTGTCTGTTCAGAAGAGAGATTGGAAAGGTGGAATGGTGGAGCAGTCTCCCAGATAATATTTGTTTCTTTCCCCCCCTCCTCAAGTCAACCATATCTTTATAGGGTTTTTTCCCCTTTCCAATCAAGCTCCCTAGAAACTAATCAAGGTTTACATCAAACCTTTGTCATTCTAATGTGTTCTCAGATTTTAAAATAGTAATGATGAAAATTAAAAGCATAGGCAGAGAAATTTATTGCTCATCCTAGCAATCAGTTCTTGTGGCAATCTAAGATTTTGAAGTTGAAAAGAAAATATCAGAACCCACAAAGATAGTTGTAAAGAACCGAGCTTCTTAGGCTATTTGGATTGGGGCACTTTATTTGCTTCTTTATTTCCAATGAAGAAAAACTTCAATGATATTCTTTGATTTCTATCAACCTCCCTTTGCTGGTATCATCACTCTTTCTCGGATGTTATTTGGACTCTTCATATTATAGCAAAGAAGTCAGATTCTCATCATTAACCTCAGAAAGGTAGAGGAGATTATGATACACACACACATATACACACACCACACACCACACACACACACACACACACACACACACACCTGGCTAGGATGCCTAGGACAAACTAAACTTCATTTCCTAAATAATCCTTCACCCTAAACTGGCTTAGTCAGTGGCAGGAAGGCCTGTTGGTTCGGGCATGCTGGGTACCTCCTTGTCGCAGCTTACCCTTTAGAGATTGAGCATGTATTTTTCCCTATGAAACTTCCAGCTCCTCATTCCCTCTGATTTTTATAAGCGAGGTTGAGTCACAATGTCTCTTATAGTGCCTGGGTGCTCCAGGCTAGCTGAATAAATAAGACAGTTTCCAAGGGCTGGTTTATTCAGAGCTCGAAGAGTTTGAACTCCTCCTTTAGTGATATAGGCTGATTTATTAGCTAATCCTGATAAAATAAGCCTCTGGCCATCTTAAAAAAAAATTACTCGCTTGCCGTTGGTGATTAATTACCGTTAAGTCAAAAAGCATGATGAGGCTTAAAGAATGAGAGCTACATTTGGCTTCTAGATTTTCCTCAACTCTGAATTAACAACATGAGGCTAGGGATAGAAACATGCCTTTGTTAAGCCTGGTTTCAGGGCAGATTTGTGACTGCTTTTCTCCCCTTCTTGAATTTCTAACTTCTAATGAATCATACTGGGGATAAAATTGAAAGACATGTCAGGATACTGACCTCCAGTTTAAATAGCATATGAATGGAATTGAGGTGTACTTTGTGTGTGTGTGTGTGTGTGTGTGTGTTTTAAGAAAGGAAGTAAAAATTAAATTAAACGCATGAGTTTTCAGGTGGGTATCCATTCTTTGGCCACTTGGCATTTCAGATAACTAAAGAAGGAAGGAGTTCTAAGGGTTAATGGAATACCTGCCATGCGTAGAGTGAACCTTAAAAGGCAATTACTCCAGTCAAATTGGGAGTCTGTGGAGGAGGGAGTGGGTGGATGTTGTGGAGCAAACCCAGCCATATCAGAGAAAGGCTATTGGGTCAGGGAGGCAACAAACAGCAGTTGTGGGCTGGGGTAATTACTGTAAAGCTAAGTTCACCCCTTGGAGATCGAAGCAACTGGGGGGTGGATCTAGGTGCAAAGCAAAGAGAGCAAGCAAGCCAAAAAAATTAAATTTGATCAAATAACACCCAAAGCAGAAAGCCCAGTTTAATGCAAACTCTTGAGGCTAACTCAGAGTGAGTCTTTTTTCCTCTCCCATTAGAGGCACTTCGGAAAAGATTGTTTGCTGGGCTCCAAAGAGAAAGACACTGTAGCATTGATTAAAGAGGAGAGAGAAGGGAAAACTCCCAGGAAGGAAATAGAAGTGACTCGAGGACCAATTTTGCCTCTTCCTATAGAATTTTTCTCCCTTGGAGAAAGGAACAGGTCACCCACTAGTCTAATCCTTCCCTCCTCTCACTTTTTTATTTCTTTCTCTTTTCTTCCTATTTTCTGGCAAACATACAGAGGCAGTGGCTGAAAATACATCCACACAGTCACATACCCATGCCTCCTAGCACACACAGATCCTCAGATGAACAAGCCAGAAATCCATTCATAACTTTGGTCTTGTCTTAGCAGAATAGGAGGCAGCAAAGACTGAGTTACTGGGACACATAAAGACTAGTGCTCTCTGGATAGCCATATTATAATGCATTATCTTTGAAGTCATTTAAGTCCAATTTAAGTGGTATTTAGTATAATATTTATGAATTAATGTAATCTAAACATAGGGCTGTCCCCAAAGGTTTAAACAGCCTTTACTACTGATGTGTGCTTGTTCCCGGAGCCTGCGATGCATTTTAATCTAAACAGCCAAGTCCACATCACAGTCCCTCTTGTTAACCAGTCGGAACAGATCTGTGCCTGGGTAACCACTTCTGCATTGAGATTTCCCTGGCTACATGGAGGAAAACCTACTCTTCTGGCAGCCCGGGGGGGCTTCCATGTCAGGAGTCAGGAGCCATAGCTGCAGGAACTCTAGTCCTTTATACTTTCAAACTCCATTCAGAGGAAGGGTGGGGACAGTAATAGAACCTTCTGTGGATTGTGCTCCCGAGAGTAACAGCATTGGAAAATATGCTCTCCCTGGATGCACAGACTCTCATATCAGCAGAACCTGTATGGGAAGTACCCGAAGCCCCTCGATTTAGGATGGAGTTGGGAGAAAGGGAAAGACAAGGGTTTATGATTATGTTTTGATGATATGTGACCTTCTTTGTAAGATTGTGTCTTGTATTTCCATTTGCAATTGAACAGTCTCAGAACATCGAATTTCTACCGCTTGATTTTAGCTGAGAGGGCTTGCTGGGTTTTTTTCCTTTAAATAGAAAAATTAAAGCCAGAGAGACTCTATCTCATCTCCATTTTCAAATGAGTCTTCTTCTTCTTATTATTATTATATTATACCTAAGTATTATTGTGGACATCTGCTCGATTAAGATGAACTAAAAAAAAACAATTACTTTGAAAAATAAAAATCCAATTCATACAGTGACTGGACCTACACCTATAGTCTTTATAGAAGGATTTGCTCTGTGAGAAATAAATAAGGGAAATGGAAGAGGTGTAAGAAGACAAGAATTTCAAAACGTAAATTTCACTAAAGGAAATGAGCGCTAGTAATCATTATGAAACTCAACTAAACCA